TAAACGGATTCGTTCTTGCCGGATTCCTATAGCTGATGCCACTGGATTCCTATAATACGGGTTGATCCGGCATTAACAAATACACGTAGCATACGGGATTAGAGCTAATTTGGCCAAACACTGATTGTACGGTAATTCAAAGAGATAGCTAACTTCCTGATGTCTTTTGAGAAGTTTTTAAGCAGAAAGTTGGCCACCTTTTAGGACGATTCAGCTTTAGGTAGGACACAAGTCTGGTCCTGTGGAAGATTCGGAACATCCGTAAAAGTGGTCAATTCATGAAACTAATCCTAGAGCTCCGCGAATTTTTCGAACCACTCATAAACGTCTTATCAGAATGTATTTTGAGTTGTGGCTGGAATATGGGCCCTCAGGACCACGGGATGATTCACCGGAAGATCCGGAATATCTGTAAAAGTGGTCAATTCATGAGACTGATCTTAGAGCTTCGTGTTTTTTTCGAAACCACTCATAGACGTCTTATCGCAATAAATTCGGAGTTGTGTTCGGAAAATGTACTCTGAGGACCACGGGATGGTTCACCGGAAGATCCGGAACATCCTGAAATACAGGTTAATTCATGAAACTGATCCTAGAGCTCAGTGTTTTTTTCGAAACCGCTCATAGACGTCTTATCACAATTAATTCGGAGTTTTGACTGGAATATGGAATCTGCTGACTACAAGATGGTCCACTGGAAGATCCGAAACACCCGTAAAAGTGGTCAATTCATGAGACTGATCCTAGAGCTCCGTGGATTTTCCAAAAACACTCATATACGTCTTATCAGAATGAATTCAGAGTTGTGACCTAAATATGGACCCTGGGGACTACAAGATGGTTCAATAGAAGATTCGGAACATCCGTAAAAGAGGTCAATTCATGAAACTGATCCTAGAGCCCCATGTTTTTTTTTTCGAAACCGTTCATAGACGTCTTATTACAATTAATTCGGAGTTTTGACTGGAATTTGGATTCTGGGGACAGCAGGATAGTCCACCGAAAGATCAGAAACATCAGAAAAAGTTATCAATTTATGAGACTGATCCTAGAGCTCCGTGAATTTTGCGAAACCACTCATAAACGTTTTATCAGAATGAATTTGGAGTTTTGACCGGAATATGAACGTTTAGACGGAAAATGGACCACGAGATGGTTCACCAGGAAGATCCTGGACTTCCATAAAAAAAATCCATCAGTTCTCAAAACTGAGCTTAGAGGTCCGCTTTTTTTTCGAAACCACTAATTGGCGTCTTATCAGAATAAATTTTTAGTTATGACCAGAAAATTGACCCTGAGGACCAATACACAATCCCAAAGCCGTATTTATGAAGACATATATATTAGCACCCAAACCATCACTTTTAGGTCTATGGTGTCTTGGGCAGTTTCTTAGTATTTGTTGGCCGATTTGAAATTAGGGTGGTCCCTAACATTGGTGAATTGAAAATTCAACATTTTTTTATTACTTGAAATAGACTGATCCAGTGTTTTAAAAAGTTGTACAACAATCAATTAGAACCAACTTTGCTGATGGCATCAAATTTTTATCTTTTATGGTCATGACTTATGATTATTTTAAACGAGTAGGTTAGAGTGGCCCCTAGAAAATCGGCTTTCTTTAAATATTTTTATTGGGGATCAACGTATAACAAATATTTAAAGAAAGCCGATTTTCTAGGGGCCACCCTAACCTTGCGTAAAAACTATGTTCTAAATACTTTTAGAACTTTTTATGACGCATATTTTTTTTTTATCGTAAACTCTCATAGAAGTCTTATAATTATGTATTCGGAGTTATGATCGGAAAATAGACCCTGGAGACTATGAACGCTCTTCTGGAAAATAATAGACAACTCATCAAAATGAACTCGGAGTTGTGACTGGAAAATGGACCACAGTTCCATGATTTTTTAGAAAGCACTCATAGACATCTTATCACAATCAAATCGGAGTTTTGACCAGACAATTTATACTGGGGACCACGGGATGGTCCATTAAAAGATCCGGAAGATCCATAAAAGTGATTACTTACTGAAACTGATCCTAGAGCTCCACGATTGTTTTTTTTTTCAAAACCACTCATAAATTAATATTAATCATAACTCAAATGGCTTATTGGTTAAATTTTGATGTGATGAATTAAAAATATAAAAATTTGAGCTAGTCCCTCGTTAACTTGTAACTCCAAAGAAAGATCTCAAAAAGTCAAGGGAAATAAGTCCATGAAATCCAAGGAATAATATTCAAAAATTCCGTTAAAAATGCCTTGAAGTTATTAAATAGGGGAAATGACGGCTTCGGCATGACAGACTATTTTCGGGAACCCAAATTGAAACACTATTTTCACTGGATTTTCGTACTAAAACACTTCGCTGAATGCATGTAAACGATTCTTTATGCTTTCAGCTTCAATTTGACTATATTTTTACCACTGAGAAAAAGCAATCTAGCAAGGTTTTCTTGAAATGCAACACACGCACTACAAATTGTAGCCAGGGTGCCTTCCATTCATTTTGGCGAAAAACATGTTTTATGAAATTACGGAATAATAAGATATTATGATAACATTTTGTATGTGTAAGTAACAAGAAAAGATTGTAAAGTTTATGTTTGACACACAAAACATGCAAATTTAGCTTCAAAAGAGTCACAATGAGCGATTTTCTGACCTCCTCTTCGCGAAGAGTGAAGAGCGAAGAGTGGGTGAGATAAATGACAAAATCGCTTATTGCGACGCTAATGTAGCAAAATTGGCTGGTATTATGCGTTAGACACAAACTTCACAATATTTTCTTGTTGCATACACAAACAAAATATTATCATATAATCTTATTATTCCATAATTTCATAAAACATTTTCTTAGTCAAAATGAATGGAAGGCACCCTGATTGTAGCTGATTTTGAGTTGCCGATAATAGAACAGCAGATTTACATGCAGTCCAAATGGAACGGTTGCCGAAGAAAAACTGGTTGCCGACAATACTCGCTCTCACTAGAGAAGATTGGAGCTTTGTAAAAGCGTTTCAAAACAGTTTTTGACAATTCTTTCGACTGAAATTGTTAGAGCAGCTGGCAGCAAAAGATTGTAAACAAACCAATACTGCATATGTGTGCGTTCCTTTGAGAAAAAGGCTATAGAAAGAACGTCGCTGCTTAGGTTGCCGAGAATACGTAAATTCCCCTACTTAAATACCACCTAGAAATCATCCATGATAAAAAATTTAAAAAAATGCCTATGAGCAGTTTTAAAAAACCACAGAGTGCTTAGATCAGTTTTTTTTAACTATCCACTCTAACGGATGTTCCGGATATTATTGTGGACCATTCCGTAGTCTCCAGGGCCCATATTCCACTCACAACTCCGAATTTATTCTGATAATACATTTATGAGTGGTTTCGAAAAAACCGTGGAGCTCTAGGATCAGTCTCATGAATTGACCACTTTTACGGATGTTCCGGATCTTCCGGTGAACCATCCCGTGGTCCCTAGGGCCCATATTCCGGTCACAACTCTGAATTCATTCTGATCAGACGTTTATGAGTGGTTTCGAAAACAAAAACCGCGGAGCTCTAGGATCAGTTTCATGAATTGACCACTTTTACGAATATTCCGGATCTTTCACAGGACCAGACTTGTGTCCTAACGGAAACTGAATCATCCCAAAAGGTGGCCCACTTTCTGCTTAACAACTTCTCAAAAGACATCAGGAAGTTATTTCTTCAAATTGCCGTACAATCAGTGTTTGGTCCCAATTAGCTCAAATCCTATATGCTACGTGTATTCGTTAATGCCGGTTGCTATAGTACGGTCCCTATTAACCGTACTATAGAAATGTTGACTGTAGTTCATTTTCTAATATCTGTGTGGTACGTGCCACGTCAGAAATAATGAAAACAATCACTTATAAAGAATAATTAACACCCATCCCTGACCCCCATCGCTCTTATTTTCGGGTTAATGTTCCACAGTTGAATAATCGTTTAATAAATGTATGAAAATGTCTAATTTAAATTCACATGAGAATCAAGCATATACAGAGCATCACTGTTTTATTTAAGGGGAAGCAGTGATGTCTAATAAACGCCCGCATAATCAAAAATGTTATCGAATAAGCTCTGTTACCACTCATATAAGTCGAATAACAGCTCCTCGACATATCTTGTACAACACCCAATAGTTCAATGTGTTGTGGTTGAATAAATTCTCCAGATTTGTGCGAACAAAGCCTGAACAGAAGTTATTATTAAAAATAATGCAAGTATTATTAAGCATGTTGTTGAATAAAATCGTCAAGAAGTCGTTCCTTCAATAGACGATTGTTTGTTGAGGAGCTTATACTTTACTAAAAAGTGCAGCCCTTAAACTATTTCCACCATCTCTTTGATTTGTTTCCGTTTCTACCGGACCCAGAAAGGGGTCTCCAGGTCCGGTAATACACCATGCACTAATCTTAGCACACGAGGTATACCACAATAGATCAAATTACTGCTCGCAGTGGATTTACGTACACCTTCATCAATGAAAATAAATAGCCATTTTACTACTACTAACCCAATCATCGAAATTCTAAATTATTTCATCATATCCAGCAAATATTGACAGGAAATTGAGACACAATTGTGATATAAAAAACACCAAGCACCAACTAAAATCTCTGTTTTAGGTATGTACATGTGAATTACTATCACGCTTGGCAGCTACACTAGACCTGTCCCACTCTAAGTTTCTATTCGATTGGAAAAATCTGCTTAGTTTTTGATGATCAAATTTCTTGAAACTCAAAAAGTCGTGCAAAATTAAGCCTACAATATGCATTACTGGTTAAAAAATCATAATGGATGAAATATTAAAATTAAGGACGGGACTGGTCTATTCAGATCGTCAATCATACGCACATATGTATGTACTTATTCATGTAACAACAACAATCTCAACAGTCACTTCGCCGGCAAAAGCGTTATAAACCAATTATCATTCTCTCATCAAATTCAGTCTTTGCCGAAATCTCGCCGACGACGGAATGATTGCTTTTTTGGTAATTACCTTTGCGGTCTGCCTGTTGCTGTACCGGTATCAGCAACGCATGGCAAAAGCAGCGAAAATTGCCGCTCATTTTGCACACCCGAAACCGGTTCCCGTGTTGGGCAATGCGTTGCTCTTCGCCAACAAAGGCGCTCCGGAAATCTTCCGCACGGTGCTGGACCTGCACAAGCAGTACGGCCAGGATCTGGTCACCTACGGACTGTTTGGGGACTTTCAGTTGCACATATCCAGCCCGGAGGCCATCGAGCGGGTTCTGCTGTCCAAAGTCACCAAGAAGAACTACATCTACGGCTACGTGGAACCATGGCTCGGAAGTGGGCTGCTGCTGTCCTTCGGCGAGAAGTGGTTCCAGCGGCGAAAGATCATCACGCCGACTTTTCATTTCAAAATTTTGGAACAATTTCTGGAGGTGTTCAATGCGGAAACGGATCGACTGGTTCGGAAGCTGGAACAACATCTTGACGGAGAGGAGTTCGATATGTACGGGTACATTACGCTCCATGCGTTGGACAGCATCTGTGGTGAGTATTCGTTGTTCGAGTTTTTTCCGTTATCTCGTAGTGTGAAGCAAATGTGCGATAAGTGAAATTAGGATTTTTGTTTGCCAATGATGGACGGAACAAAAATAATCAAAACAGTGTTGGTTTGTTATTATTGAATCAATTGGTTGGATGGCATGTTCAAGAAAAAAATCTCATCCTGAGTTTTGACGCTTCTTGTAAGCTTATTCGTATCTCAACTTATAGCGAATTTGATTATTTTCGGGGTTGGAACCAGTTGCAACCAAGTGCGATACTGAATGTTTCGTCAGGAGCGATAGTACTTCCATAGTTATTGTGTGACAAGCATGTCCAGGGAAGTTGAAAAAAAAATAAAACCGGAAGATTTTGTAGACCGATCCGGAAATCGTGCCTTATGGTCTGAGGTCAAGCTTCCAGCGGTTTATTTCCAAATTGCCACGTTTAACCGTTAAATAACCACGTGTTGTATCTCTCGGAGAGTCTCAAAACATGTTGTGAGACAGCGATGGCAGTGTTGCGAATATAATGGAAAATAAGTCAACCATTATAATAATTACATTCAAAGAGAGATTGGGAAAGCCAAGAGCCCAATGATCTCATCCGACATCGGCATCGGACTAGGCTACCTGTGGTCAGTTACCTCATAATGCTGATAAACCAAAATTGAACTAATTCGATCAAACGTGTGCCAGAAATTGAAGTGTTAGTAACGTAAAACTGTTTCCATCATGCTAATAACCATTGGTTTTCGAAAGACAGGCTCACCAGCACGTGAATCAGCACAAGTGTAAACACCCCATAAAAGACACACGCAATCGTTAGCAAATGACAATCTTGAAAATTCTGGATGTCTGAATTAAAGTCGAAAGGAATGAGAAAAATGCACAATCACAATATGGCTCAGGGCCGTATTCACCTTTAACGACCTTAACTTAACGACCGACTATTTATAGAGTGGAGAACAGCTTCAGCAGCCCCTCAAGACCCTATTCCAAGCATGGGATTTTTCTAAAGACAATTAATCAGAAATCTATCCCAAAGATGCTGTATGATGTGGAGCTGCAAAAAAATGAGCGTTGTAAGTTATTGTTTACCCCATGCTTGCAAGAGGGTCTTGCGGGAGGGGATCGAAGCTGTTCTCCACCCTATTTCATCATTTTTCAAGTTTGGTGGCACTCGAAAAGCGCTGATGTCGTGTTCTTTTTTGTTTGTTTGTTTGTGAATAATGCTTATGAGGCATTCGTTCACCTGTGCTGTGTGGCATGAGATCATTAACGCGGTACCTATTATTGATGCATGTTACCGTTTGGGTACTTTGCCCTATGAAAAAAGCTCGAGCAGAGAGATAGCAGTGCTTTAAAGAGCGAGCACTCAACCGAACGAGACAGCAATCCACTAGTATACTGCTGTTCGGTGCGCTAATGACGTTCAACCTTGGTAGGAAACCTGGTACCGCGAGGAGTTCGCAGCTACAGAACCTCGTGCCATCCTGCACTGATACCACTGTCCGTGGCAATCGTGCCATTCATTGCACTCAACCAGCAGTCCCCTGCGTTCAGCGCAAGTGACGCCGACGCCGCCGACGTGCAGCAATATCAGCGATCATCCGATCGCACTCGTAGCCGCCCCGTCCGATTCCCCGCAGCAGAGATCCACGTGCCGGCCGGCCCTTACACACACACACACACCCCCAGAATTTGTAAGTAGGTTTTAATTAATAAAAGTTAAATAGTGAAAGATTAGGTGACCGTGTTTGCATTTGCTGATCAGTGTCCCCTATTTGTCCGGAGCCGACCTTGAGAGCTCCGTCTCTCAAGCTCGAGCTAGTCGCCGCAAAAGAGGCTGGTGGATAGCCCACCCCGTCTGGTCCCCGTGGCTTTAGACCAGGGACCTGGGGCATTGTAGTCTTAGAGAGAGAGAGCACACGCAGTGAGTAACAAATGGCGCCCAACTAACTGACAATACTGATCAGAAGTGCAAACAATTAAATCTGGAGTGAGCTTGGGTCAAAGGCTAGAAAAAATCTCGATTTGCTTTGAGTTGATTTCAGAAGGCAAAGTGCGTGACGAGTTATACTTACCCAAGTGTTCCCAAACAGATCATTCTTTAAAACATATCTACTTACTAGTGCGCGAACACTCACAAAAGCAGACATCTGAGCTGTAAAAGTACCAAATTACGGGAGTTTTTCTGAAAATCGGGGATTTTTAGTGTTTTTTTTTCGTTTAATGGGTCTTGATTCTACCCTGTAATAAATACGATTTGTTAGTATTTTTCAAATTGAAGCTTTTATTTGAATTGGTTTTAGTTATTTTTTTTTTTCATTTGGCATTGTCAACCGTTGACGGATATCAAGCAATAGCGATGGATCTTCAATCGATGTACAGATGCATGAATGTATCGCATCTGTCGATTGACGAAGTGGAACATGAGCTACTTATTCGGAACATATTGTACGGTTTAGATGAACATGATAGTATCAAGAGACGAAAGCTTAAAGATCAGATGAAGAAGGAGCGAGAGATGAAAAATATTGCGGTAATTTATTCTCCAACGTGGAGAGACGTAGTAGAGGAAATCTCAATTATTAGGTCAAAGTTGACAGTGATAGGGGGTTTATTGGAGAATCCAAAAACAGACACACGCCAACGTGAGAAACTTAGAACTCGTTTGGTGCATTACAGAGTGAGATCCTTTCTACTCTCGAGACCCTCTCGAGCTCGTAAACACATGATTGAAATTCAATCAATTAGTAAAATTGGTAACGACTTGCTTCAGAAGCATTTCGCTGAGGAGGTCGATGAGAAAAATGAGGAGTCGAATGAGGAAACAGATGAGCTAGGACAAGATCTGTCTAAGGCCCTAGAAGAGATTAGAAATGAAATCGAAATGTTGAATGAATCTACTTGCGCTAAGAATGCTGAAGCAGAAGAAGCTAAAGATGAAGCAAGTGGAGGAATAGAATCTTTAGTGAAATCGAAACAGTCAGAACTTAACAAATCCATGAGAAAATCGGAAGCAATTCTCAAGAAATTATCAGAATATGAAACAGGAGATGGTCAAAGCATAGCAGATTTAGTTCAACACTTCAAGAACTATGTAATACAATCAACAGAACAGGAAAAAACTCGCAGAGAAAAAGAAATCGAGCAAGAAAAACGGAAAATTAAAGAGGCCGAGGAAAACGTTGAAAGGAAACGACGCCTCGAAAAGCTTCTATTAAATTTGAATGAAAAAATTAAAGTTGAACCAGAAATGATTAAGCTGGAATTTTCAAACCCTTTGGAACTTCTTGATGATGCTAAACAACCTGAAAAGAAACAAAACGAAAACAAAACGGACTCAAATCTGAAAATTAAAAGAAAACCAAAATCAGAACCTGAAACTTCAGAATCAGAGAGTAGATCAGATAGCTTGTCAGAAGATAACGTAAAAGTATCAAAAGAGAAGGTAGGCAAAGGCGCAGTCAGGAAACCGGATAAAATAAAGCGAGAGAAACGGTCTGCATATTCTCGTAAGAAAAAGAGTAAGGGAATCAGTTTCTCAAGTGAGTCCCTGTCTACTCAAAGCTCATATTCATCTAGCTCGACTTTCGAAAGCTCATCAGACTCGGTTGAACGTAACGATAGACGTAAGAGAAGGAAGAGTAGGAGACAGTCGAAAAAGCCCTTGAAACGAGTACCAGTCTCAGATTGGAGACTTAAGTATGATGGCAAAGATAATGGTCGTAGGCTAGGAGAGTTTCTAAAGGAAGTTAAAATGAAGAGTAAGGCAGAGGAAATCTCGGACAGCGAGCTTTTCAGAGGAGCGATTCACCTATTCTCGGGGAGAGCCAAAGATTGGCTGATGGAAGGATTGGAAAATAGGGAGTTTAAAACATGGTCTCAATTGAAATCAGATCTGAAGAGAGAGTTCCTTCCTCCAGATCTCGATTTTCAATTGGAAATTCAGGCCACTAATAGGAGACAGGCTAGAGGAGAAAAATTTGTCGACTATTTTCACGACATGCTCAAAATGTTTCAGTCGATGACACGTCCCATATCGGAGAGACGAAGATTCGAAATTGTATGGCGAAATATGCGTTTCGACTATAAAAATGCATTGACAGGAGCAAATATAAAATCGTTGTCAAAACTCAAACGTTTTGGTAGGTTTGTCGATGAAAATAATTGGGTAAATTTCCAAAAACCATTTGACAATCCATCTCGTCCACGAACCAATCAGGTGAATGAAATCACTGGTTCAAAACAGCCTGAAAAAAGCACTTATAATTCGTCCAGAACAGACAAATCAAGAAACGTAGAAAACTCACAAAAAAATAAAACTGATTTGGACAAGAGAGGTAAGGGGAAAGAGAGGCAAGATACGGGAATGGAGCCCATGGAAGGGTCAGCCAAAAGCACTTTACAGAAACTCGTCGACCAATACAAACGTCCAGCCATAGGCATTTGCTATAATTGCCGAAAACAAGGCCATCATTATGGGGAATGTTCCCTTGAGCGACACAAATTTTGTCGTATTTGTGGCTTTCCCGATGTGTTCACTAAAACTTGCCCCTACTGCTCAAAAAACGTAGAGAGTTCGGCTTAGAGGAGGAAGCCGAAGCACTCTATCTGAATCCTCCTAACCTTGACGAAATTCAAGCAGCTTTATTGCAAAATGGCTTTGAGCCAGTTGCAGATGAGGATTATGGCATTAAACGGAACATAGAGGAGATTTTCGTTAAGGTCGATGGAGACGCACGACCCTTCATAAAAGTTAACATTCTTGGAAAGGAGATTCTCGGTCTTTTAGATAGCGGAGCACAACGAACCGTGCTTGGAATCGGTTCGAAAAGACTTCTTAAATATTTGCGTTTGAAAATTTATCCTTCTGAGGTTTCGATCAAAACCGCTTCAGGAGCCGAAATTGAAATTGAAGGATATGTTAACTTACCTGTAACTTTTAATCAGGAATGCCATATAATCCCAGCTTTGATCGCACCCAGATTGAATCGTAGA